TGAAATCTGTTGGTAAGCGCATAACTCAACAACGCTTAGACCAATTAGGCCAATTCTTTTTTTTAAATGTTTGTTAAAGTCCAAGGATGGTTTTTACGGCGAAAATAATTTGAATAATTGCTGGGAAAACCCTAAAGACAGCCTTTTTCTATAGGATAAAAGTTGGCATTGAGATTCAATCATAGTTATAGTTAAATAGTTGAATCCGAGATGGCGCGCTGAAGTGCATTATTAGCAATTCGTGTTATAATTAATTTCTTTAAAATAAAATTGCGAATCTTATTGATAGAATTGACACATACTATGTCCAGAACAAGAGACTAAAACGAATTACATTTTTATTAAATTCTCCCTGTACGAAGTTTGTTTATTATATAAAGAACCTAATTAAACCTAATTAAATTCAGTGACTAATTAGTCTAAAACAATATTTATTGATTAGATATTTAGAAATTGACCGGTAATATTTAGCTGGTGTAATATTTAGTACATAATAATAATTTGATTGGAAACATATTTCTGGAAGTTAATGTTGTGTACACTTCGCCAATAGTTTTATAATGTTATTCAAAATGCACACAAACTGAAATTCCCTTGCGCAATTTGTAAAATGCGTGTCTTTATACCCGTTTGGCGTGCGAGCAGCGAATTACTTAACACGAACGTAAAAGCGTAATTAATAAAACTCTCAGCTCGTCGACGAGCCATAAAATCGCGTCATGATCGCCAACCAGCTGAAATTATCCTCGCATCCTTGAATCGCCGATTCGTCGTCTTCGTTCAGTCCTTTGGCGCGTTGCAAAGAGTTACGTGCTGCGTCCTCACGTGTTTTTATGCATTTAAATGTCCCATTTACGCGTTCTTTATTTTTCGTTCGCCTGCGCTCGCGTTTTTAGTGTTTTCCAAGTAGTTAGCCAGAGTTATTCCTCATTTCTTATTCTACGTCGGTTAAACTCACCAAACACGAAAGGAAGCTCAGAAAAAATGCATAATTGGAAAAGTTGAATGATAAATGATAAAGTTTAATATTAATACATATAATAAATTGTAATAAAATGGTGCAAAATGCAAAAAGGAAGAATTAATTATTTTAATCTAGATTTTCATAGGTTAATGATGATGTGTTTAAGTTAAATGACATTAAACAAATATAAATTGCACAAATGTAGCACGTAATATGTCGTGAGAACTGATAATTTTAATGCAATATAAGTTTAATTATTTTAAAAACAAAAAGACGATTATAATTTGTCTAGAGAATTAGTTTAGGAGAAAGATTGCTTGATTGAACAAGTTCAAACACGTTCGAATTTTAATAGCCTGCTAGCGATTGCTACGGACGTGTTAATGTTTTCTTTCAAGCGCATGTTCATGTTTCACTCTATTCACTCTATGTTAATGTTGATATTGTGATAACGCGCATGAAAAAGCGTTCCGAGATGTAATCGTGCGATTAATATTATAAATCGATTATAAACACACACAGAAATATATCTTATACGTGGTGTTGATAATAATTGTTGAATATAATACTAATATTACAAAGAGTATGTTTGTGACGCTTTCACGCAAAAACCACTCAGGCAATTTTGATAAATTTTGGTATAGATATATTTTGAACTTAGGAAAAGCAAATAGGGTACTTTTTGATGTAAAAATTTAACTAGAAGAGTGAAAAATAAGCGATTAAAGTTGATATGAAGATTCAATAATAGTTTTAGTTACATAATTCGAATCCAGATGGCGCTAAAGTGGAAATTATTAGTGGAATTTGAATAAAATCGTAATATAAACAAGAAACAAGAATATTTTTCATTAAAATTAACACTGAAGAAGTTTCTGGCAAAATCTTGTAATAATCCAATAATAAAATTGCAATTTACTTAACCTAACCTCCATAAAACTCACTTGAGTGTTATTTTTGTAGGCTGCTTAAAATTCAGTTTAAATTCGTTAATTAATAGCTGCATGGCGTGTACTTATTAGATATTTCGAGGCTTTCATTACCTGCTGGTTTGCGGTGCATGGACGAGTGGGGCACTAACAAGACGTTGAAATATTGAAATAACGAAGCAACCAAGCACACACACGCCTTAGCATCAGGTGTGCAACGCCAAGCGGGGCGCAGCACCTCGCGCTGGGTGTTGGAATGATTTATTAATCCGTTTTTTAATTAACGCCGCGGTTCATTATAACATTTATAAGCGTGTAACCGTGTAACAGCCAAACACGATTGTTCTGCGTGTGGCATTCGGCAGAAATTTAATTTCAGGGTAATTTTTAGGTTAAAAAAATATGAATTTACACGTTTTGCACATGAACCGAAAATTGTACATAACGTACAAATTGCAATATGAAGGTTATACTAGTATTTACAGATGAATTACACTCCGGGTAACAGGTATAATGAATCTGAAACGTAATAAATTTTAAAAACTAAATATTTGTATTGAAATTCCTGCAGGTCGGTAAGTGTGAGAATGATTACCACCAGGTTGTTCAGGTGTGCGCACACCGCCTCGTTATCGCCTGGGTCGTGAGGGCCTTCTCACATTTTCATCAGCTCGTATCGGCCGTCGGTGCTGCACACGGAATACGCGCTTGCTCGCATGACGCCGATTCGTGCCCGGCCACAGCACCCGGCTATCGGCGATCTATAACAGCCCATAATGAGTAGCCGCACCGTGGAATTGATTATGATTAATAGAAGGCGCGCTGCGCCGTTGATAGCGATGCGCTCAGCTTCATGCCACATCCCGGCGTAAACGATCTGCCTGCGCCTTCGAAACTTTTGATTTAACGCTCAATGTTAAGCGCTTGTGAATCTTATAACCCTCGGATGCAAATTCAGGGCAGAAAATTGATTTTTGTGTTGAAAAACACTCAAAAATCAATTTTTTAACCTAAAATTCACAGAGCGAAGCTTAACTTTGATACCAGATGGCGTTGACAACGAAAATTAATATTTTAGTTTATTTTACATGCAAAACAACATCTTTAGCACTCCAGGGTTAATTTCTGTATCGAAAACAACGCCATCACAATATTCTCAACAAGAGGAAGTGCAAGTAAAATTGATAAAATGCGAAAATCACCGCTTGCGTTTCATCCCCGGCAGGCATGACGTACTTAAGCTAAAAGACGATCGTTATTAAATTTAATATCAATGATGTTTATAAAAGGCGTTAAGTAGGCAAACGCCGACAGCGCGCGATTTACAATTCGCGCCATGTTTAGAAATTCGCCGCGATTTCCTCGTACGTTATAACATGGCGAATGAGTGTTTTCTGGTGTTGTTACCGCATCATTTTTATGAATCAAGCAATATTTCATTCTCTTCGTAAGCGGCCGGTTGAAGAGCGTCGTGCACTTCGATCGTGTCAATAATCACCGTTGTTATACTCACTCCCGATCTTCACACGTTTTCTGCATCGACGGCTTATAATTTGGTGGTCACGGTATCAATTTACAGCCATCTCCGGATAAAATCACGTAGTTTTTATTGGGTCAGCCCCGAAATCAATACAAACTATCATTTTACTATACTGGTTGTTGTATTAACGTGTGTAATAAACGATTAAAGCGGAATGATGCCCTCAAGACACACTTTTACACCGCTTTTCTTAAAATGTTTTATTTTTTGTAAAATTTTTTGATTATATCATCCTGTATATTAATATGTGTACTAAAGTTAACAGTACAAAGAGTTTCTTCTTGTTTTAATCATGTATTATTAAATTTCTAACAATTTTTGGTGAAGATTTCTTTATTACTCACACATAACGTTATATTACTCTACTAAAAAGTAGAAAAAATGCCCATATGATTATATTTTCTCACATTATTAATTAAATTAAAAACTTACATTAAGAACTTAATCGAGAAACAATTAATTTTTATATTCTAACTAATTTTGAACAACGAATGTGAGTTTTTTGTTGGTTTGTGACACTTTTACGCTTAAGCCACTCAACCAATATTGATAAACTTTGGTGTTGAGATCTTATTGATAAAGAAAAAGCAATTTGGCTACTTTTTGTTGCAAAATTATATTTTAAAACGGGTAAAATAAGGGATGAAAGCTTATATAGTGATTAAACACTAGTTAAAGTTGTATAATTTAACTCTAGGTGGCGCTAAAATGCCTCATTAATATTTCTTAGTTTTTTAAATTGAAAATGATATTTTTGTCGGTTTCTACTTTTATCAGGTCCAAAAGATTAAAAATTTCCTTTTAAATTATAATTTGGGCGTACACAATCGCAGACAAAAGTACGTGTAAACATTAAGATAAACAAAATTCTTCAACAATTATGTTATCGTATTGATTGTACACACACGAATATTGTTATGTTTTCATCAACAAAATTCTTCAAGATATGAAACATTTATGTAAATTTTAAACATTTAACACCCACAAAAAGCAAAAACATTCAACAATTCGACGATTCAACGAATTCAAGCGTGCATTGAAGATGCGATGTTATCATAATCACATAATGAGTCGGATGTAGTTGTTGAAAAATTCTTCACGCGTTTATCGCACACGATTCATCGTCGGAATCGGCGTTAATCACACGCTGAGTATCTTTATTCATTGCTATTTTGTGTACTCACATGGTAATTTCTGGAGTTATCATTAAATCTAAAATGCCGAAGATACAACGGTGATTTATAGTATATAACGCGCATTTTATTTAACAGTTTTAAACAGTAATAATTTATTACTATGTATTTATTTCTGCCTGAAAATAATATATTTTGATTATGATGCGACATCTCACGGATATATTACTGGACTGTAAGTATAAATACTAGGTTGGTGCGCCATCTGTTACTTATAATTTGAGAAGTGAATTCTTTTATATTTATTCAAATAATTCCATAATGATTATTGCATTTTCATTTTGAATGAATGCAGATTATGTATTATTAAAAACTCTATCGGACACAATTAAACTTTTTAGTTTGACTTCTTTCATTTATTGTGTAATTTTATTTTATTTTTTGCTGTCATGCAAACATCTGTTGACCTCAAGTTCATTTCCTATTTGTTGTTGTAGAACGCACATGTAAAATTACTAAAATTTTATAAAATGGGTAAAAAGAAAGGTTCCGCAAGTGGCTTAGGCCGCCAACTTATAAAGGACCGCTTCGGTGGCCCTAAACAACGTAAATTTGTTGCTGATAATTCAATGGTAAGCAAAAACAATTTTCTAACCTCACAGTTTAATTGAAACTGAAAATAATGATACAAATATTTAGTTAAAAATATTTTGACGGTGTTATATAGTTGCACACGACCGAAATCCAAGACGGATACGATTGGGGCAGGTTGAATCTACAATCAGTGACGGAAGAAAGTTCTTTTCAAGAATTCCTCTCAACTGCTGAACTTGCTGGCACAGAATTCCAAGCAGAAAAGCTAAATATCAAGTTTGTCAACCCTAGAAGCAATGTGGGTCTTTTATCTAAAGATGAAATGCAGCAGAAGGAGGAGCAACATCTTAAACATAAGGATATTGTCAAGATTCCTAGAAGACCTGCATGGGACTCCACTACAACCACAGAACAACTGCAAACTAATGAAAAAGAAGCATTTCTTGAATGGAGGAGATCACTTGCCAAGCTTCAAGAGGACCAGAAGTTATTACTCACTCCATATGAAAAGAACCTAGAGTTTTGGAGACAATTGTGGAGAGTTGTTGAGAGAAGTGATGTGGTTGTACAAATTGTTGATGCCAGAAATCCACTACTTTTCAGATGTGAAGATCTGGAAAAATATGTCAAAGAAGTCGGCAAGGACAAAGAGAATATGATTTTATTGAACAAGGCTGATTTTATGACAGATGAACAGAGACAAGTGTGGGCAGACTACTTTTCTGACCAGGGAGTGAGAGTGGCTTTCTTTTCAGCAAGATTAGCAAGTGAAAAGATTGATGAAGAGGAGGAGGAAGAAGAAGAAGATATAAAACAAGATAATACTTCATCAGAAGATGAAGAAGATGCAGGCAAAGATGAAGACCTTAAGACTGCAGTGCATCAACTTGCTGATAACATAACAGAAACTCTTGAAATGCTTAAAACTTCCATTTTAAAAGAAGATACAGATACAGATACAGAGGATGAAGAAGATGCAGAGAAAGATGTCAATGTTGATGAACTTAAGACTGCAGTTCAACAACTTGAAGACAGAGTTGAAAAAACTGCTGATAAACTAACAGAAACCCTGGAACAAGTTCAATCGGTCGTTTCAACACAGGCAGCAGATACACATATTCCAGATCATGAAAACAAGTCAATTAATTCAAATAAATTACTCACTAGAGAGGAGTTAATTGAATTATTCAGAAATTTTCATCACGGTCCCAAAGTAACTGAAGGAATCACAACAATCGGGTTGGTCGGTTATCCAAATGTGGGTAAGAGTTCGACAATAAATGCGTTGATGACGGTGAAAAAGTTTCCGTTTCCGCGACTCCTGGCAAAACAAAACACTTTCAAACCTTGTTTCTGGATAAGGATATTATGCTATGTGATTGCCCTGGTTTAGTGATGCCTAGTTTTGTATTCACCAAGGCAGAGATGGTAATAAACGGCATATTACCGATTGATCAGATGAAAGATCATGTTCCTCCGGTGAATTTGGTCTCTAGTTTGATTCCTAGACATGTTATCGAGTATCTTTATGGAATTATGTTGCCTCTGCCCATGGAAGGTGAAGATCCTGATAGGCCGCCGACATCGGAAGAGCTTTTAAATGCTTATGGATGTAAGACTATCACTTTTAACTTTAAATTACATATTTTTGTTTTTTAATTAATATTTTGTTTGATTTTTAAGATAATCGTGGGTTTATGACTGCTAACGGTCAACCTGATAATCCACGAAGTGCTCGATTTATTCTCAAGGACTACATCAACGGGAAATTATTGTATGTGCATGCGCCAGTTGGTGTAAAACAAGAAGAGTTTCACACCTTTCAAGAGCAAAGAAAAGTCGTATCCGAACGACATGTTCAACCGGCAAGAGAAGTCCGTGCAAGCAAAGTAAATATAAATTAATAAATAATTTTAATTAATAAACTGATTAATTCATATTAAAATTGTAGCCAAATAGATTAACAACTGAAGATTTGGATAAAATGTTCTTTAAAACTCAGCATCAAGGAGTGCACGCTAAGGGTGAGCGTGGAAAAGCAACAGGTCTGCCTGGAATGCTAGGCGGAGCTGCCGCGGGCACAAGCATGGAAAAACCGTGGAAAAAACTGCATAAACACGAGAATAAAAAGAAAAAGGAGAAACTGCGTCGTGTGTATCGCGAGTTAGATGAGCATTAATCAAACTTTAAAAAAAAATTACAAGGAATATTACAGATCACCTGCGATGTAATTTCGCTTGTAATATTATTACATATTAATAACCGTTTATATTATGTAAAATACATTCGATTTCGCACGTTAATTGTTACAATCTCGACGAGTTTAAATAATTTTCACATTTTGGTTCTTTTTGAAATAAGTCAGCAACATGGGACATGTTGTAAGTAATTAATAATTAAATTATGATCAAAAGAGGCAAAATTACTAGCTTTCTAGGCCACACAGGGAGGGACACGTGAAATATACCATTCAGATCATTTCGTTTTCAATCAATAGTGATTATCATCATAATTTTAAATCATTGTAAGCAAAGCCATGATATCGCGCAATTAATTTTTGTATAAATTTACAAAACCGCTGTGAAATATTGTTAATACTTGATGTATGTGGCCTAGCTACATCCGATTACATTCGCGTCAGTTAAAAACTATGCTGTGTAAGATGGGCCTTTTGCATTTTTCTTCAAAATCATGCAGGACTTCATCAATGTCATTGTCTAGATCTTCACTTTTCCTTAGCTGAAAATATTTTAAGAAAAACATAATTAGTTCTGAGTAATTTTGATTTGTTTATTAATATTTATTATTACCATTGAGCACAGATCTGAAATTAAAAATGCTCCAATTGTGGCCTCCTCCAAGTTATCCTGTATATCAAAATTAATAACATGCACAATGGTGTTGTCAACAGGTGTTCTGTTCTCCATGCATTCAAGCACTTGATCATAGACTCTCTCTTCACATGTGATTAGCACATGGAATTTATCATGGTTCTCTTGAAATCTCTCAGGTCTTGATTTGATTCTTCTATTTCTATCTAAGGTGTGCAACAGGCCATTCTGAGTATATCTGTAACAGATTTAGTGAAATTAGTATTGGTGTTAAACAATGATGATGATAGGAAATTTTACAATGATTTATCTTTGGACATTAGGTCTTGGTAGATCTCTTCATATGTGATTCCAAAGTCATAGATGTTGGGTTTATCTGCTGCAGAGCCTGGAAGCTTGACCTTGTCACCAGTGCCAAATGACTGCACCTGGAAACCTTTCTTGGCGAGGAAGTTGTGTGCCTCCATGCTGCGATTCATGTTGCTCGAACATATTACTGCGATGTGTAGATCATCGTCCATATTCGGTGCCATGGTTTAAATTTAATAGTTTTGTTTACAATTTAATAGTTATCTCGATGAGCTTACAGAGAATTTCTTAACCTATAAAGCGCTAATCGGCCGGAATTATGCTGCGTGAAGAGTGGCCTCTTCAGCAGCCTACAATAATAATAATTTTGCGTGTGATGAGAAAATTGTGTATAATGATTTGTTGGTGTTGTTGCCGAAATCGCAAAAATAAAATGTGTATTAAAAATGCAAATGATCGGGAAAAGATTTGGGAAGTCGACGCAATGCGTGACGAGGAATCATCTGACGTCGACAGATGACGGCTATCGAACCAACTGCAACGCACAAAAATCCCTAAATGTACTTTTACCAACTTTTGGCATAAATGAAATCAAATGTTTATCTTCTAATACTTATAAAATGTATACCTTCAAGTATCTTATCAAAATACAAAATAAAATATCTCAAATATAATTTATCATGACCAGTAAATATGTAGAAAGTTTTGCGGCGTTTACATATAATGTGACGTTTCAGAATTACACCAAAGTTACTAGATTTTTTATTGGTGCACTTGCAGAAGTAGTAGGGCAATGGCCGCCGCGGGCCGAGTTCGTGTCGATTCTTCTGTTTTGGTTTATGTTTATACAATTGTTGATAAATATTAGTGCAGCTCCAGTATTCTTCAAGCCGCATACGTAAGGTACGTGCGAAACCAGAGCAAATTTTCCAATATATCGCCTTGCCAACGCCTTTGTCGAAAAGCTTATATTTCACGGTCAAAGTGGCTCCACTCTTCCGAACATACGCATGATTCTACATGTAATTGTTTAAACAATCCGCGCATGAATGCCACAGGCGCGTAATTAATAGCACACCGTTGATTATTAGCGCCGTCACAATACGTTTCTTATCATACTCCTCGTTGCGATAATGTTTTTGCGAACAATTTAGGCGCACACACAAGAAACATTTTCAGCCTGTTTGTAATTTCTCGTTACTCGTTCCGCTCGGCTATTTTTAGGTAGGAAATCGAAACACAATTACGATGCAACTCAATATCACGAATGCATTTATTACAAGCAGAAGCAATTCGCAAACAGGTGTATTTATTAACAAAAATAATAATAAATAAGTGTAAACAACTACAGGTTGCCATAGCAACCAGATTTCTTCTAGAATCTTGTGTTGATCTAACAATGTTTAAGTTTTAAGTATAAATATTGATTAATTTTGTATTTGTTTGCCACTGTATCAAACCTTATCGATTCAAACGCATTCAGTGGCGGGTCGCACGTTGTTAAACTGTTTGACGACTCGATGCACAGTTCTGACATTAATGCCATTCGCCAGTAGTCGAGTGATGTTGCCAAGTGCAAGAGTTAAATCCGTTGCAACAGTTGTCTTCGCATCCATTAAGTAACTTCGTATGAAAACCTCCAACATCGACGGCAGCCACAACGAGGCAAAGGCCAAAATATATTTGCCAAGGACTTTCACTTGTTCTTCATTGTTTACTAGTTTCAGCTTGGTGTGAGTCACTTTGGCGTAGAAAATTGTCGCAAAATATGACAAAACAAACACAATCAGCGTGTGCAGCTTGATGGGCATCATCTCTAAACTGCATTTACGATTTGTTTGATGTGAGAGATTTATTTCTTCTTTTTTAGTAGGACTATTTGTAAATGCCTGCTTGAATTGGCGTGATTTTTCTATTTCTTCAGTGCTTTCCACTTTATCTTCGGGGACATCTTTACTATTTGTTGGTAATGTTTCTTTTAAAGTGTTTAAAGTATCCAAAATATTATACGGTGCTTGATTGCTTTCGGTTCCATTGATTTCAACAATTGTTGCGTTATTAGCATTATCTTGTAATTGTTGCATAATATCGTAAATGCGGTCGATTACATTGTCAATTTCCCTACTTTCATTCTGATTTACTTGAATATTAGTCACATTTAAAGGGTTTTCAATAATATTGATGATGTCGCTAGGTGAATCTGTGAATTGTGTGATGTCGAACAACAAATCCGCTTGTAATTCCGATGGCTTCATCGTCAAAGTGACGATTATTGCGTAAATAATTGGCAGGAACCATGCTAGGAGTACTTGCACAATCGATTTGAAGTCACGTTTCTTTGGTTCCGGTTCATCGTCGCTTTCATCGTTCTGCTTCGAGATGAAAACTTTGTCGTCATTTGCCGGGAGACTTTGTGATACTTGCGCACATGATTTACATTCAATTGTCGAATTGAATAAGGAAATAATGCCGTAAACGAAAGCGACTACTAGCATTATGTACTTGAAGTATACTTCATCGTACATGTTACAGTCTTCATCGTCAATGGTAGCAGGAGATGATCCTGATTGAGTATTTAATAACTCAGTCTCTGTTGACAATTCAACATCATCGAGTTCTCCTTTACGGAGTCTATTTCGTTTGGTGTGTTCTATTATTGTCTTGCCAAGTCGATTTATCGCTATGAGTTTACGAATTGAATTACCGCCTGCAACCGTTGAATTTTCGAAGCTTTTTTTGTAGTAATCAATGAATTCATTGAGTATTTCATTGGTATTTGAAATTATAGCACTTTCAGATGTGAATGTGACATTGGAGTCGCCATTCTGGAAGTTTTTCGGGTTGAATAAATCTCGTAGGGCTTTTTCTGCCACAGGATCGTATTGAGGTTGATTCAATGTTGCACTTGTATTTATTTCAATTGGTGGTGGAGTTGCCGGCGATATAGTTATTGTAATAGTTGAGTTTGTACCAATAATACATGCACAAACCACATAGAATATTCCCAGAATTAGTGTTGCTAATGCTTCTGAGATGTATAAAGGTGACATTTTAATGTGTTTCTTGCGAATGAGGGTGTAAGTCATGTACGCCAACACTGTTCCGCCAATTATTATTAGAATTATGCCAATAATCAAGTCAATGGTTAACATTTTGTTTATAAATTATATTTCACAATAATTTTATTGTTTGGAACACTGGTTACACTGGTGGCACTGAAGTAATTACTGTTTGGACCTCTTTTGAGTTGAGTTGAGTTCTGACAATGAATAACTGTTAAACTTGGCGATTACAATATTGCAAATGCATAAAAATACTTGATGTACAGAGTGACAATTGAACAATTCAAATTTTCAATTGGAATTAATGTTTTAGTGATATTATTGAATAATTGTTTGGAGCACGCTGTATAAAAACATTGAACATGATGATGAGGGTGACTTAACTGAACACACATTCTGTTATCACTGGACAACCTGCTGGTTGTTCCATTGTGGTGCTGTTGGAAGTTACGAGTCGTGAATGTACAGTTATTCCAAATTCCTAGTTGACTATAGTAGTTTATTTTGATTTTAGTACCTTATTTTCATAATTATATGCTGTTTTTTTTTCAGTAAATTTAGTTGCATATTTAATTTACTAGAATTTCTTCAATCAGCTTTCTCATATCTTTATTTTTTGTCATTCTATCCTATATAGAATGTTATTTTAAGTTTGTGCAATTGTTTATCATAAACAAATCAGAATTCTAGTTTTGCTCCCTCCTAATTACTGCGCATATCACGTTACGATCTATGCGTTGAGGTTAGTCGATTAAAATTTGCAATTGTGTTTCAGGCAAGATGCCGGTGCGTAGGTGCGCCGATCCTGTGAGCGTGCAGTATGTCTGGGACGCCATCAAGTCGTCAACCGTGCAGCGACAGACGACGGATGTGGCACGACTCGTGAAGATCATCCAGAAGTACGCGAATTGCAGTCAAGCGCAGGCCGAGCTTTACATTCAGCAGACGCTCGAGGATGATCTGATTCTCGAGGTGAAGCGCATCGCGCAGAAGGGGTCGAACGTTGGCACCGAGGTTGAGTCCTTCAAGATCAACCGACAGGAGGCCGGAGACTTGCAGACGGTACGCGGCTCCACTCTCATTATAAACTGCAAAACGTAACCGATCCGAGCGCGTATCGGCCAAAATAACTTAATTATCTGTGTGGTTTTGTAGCCCGCCGACGACGGTTACGACTGGTACTGCATCGAATGTCACTTGGCTGGAGACGTGATCACATGCGCCGGCTGCTATCATGTCTTCCACGCGGAGTGCTCGCGGAAGGCGAGTCGCAAGATCATGAATTTTCCTTCTCTCAACGTGCCGAAAGTCACACAGCCTTCGAATGATTCAAACACGCAAACAGCGACGAAAGCGGATACAGATAAAGATCCTCTGGCAGACGGGGACGCGGAGGGTAAGGAGAATGGGGATACCGAGGAGTCGAAAAACGATAAAGCCTTGAAAGATTCGGATAAGACTGATAATGCCGAAAGTGTTGACGGGAAGAAGAAGCCAGACGTGGAAAGTAAGAAGGACGATGCGCCAGTCAGCGTTAAGGATTACATTTATGACGAATCGCTGTGCAGCATTTGCAATATGAACAAATGCGACCCGGGAAGTGGCCTTGATATCGACGAGTTTAACTATTTACTGAGCTTTATTCTAACTCGAATTAAATCATGGGTAAGCATTGTCAAATCTTTTTAGAATCCAGTAATATTTCTGAGATGTTGCAGGTGCCAGATCATTTGACAAGTAATCTAAACGGTATGCTAAAACACGAGTGGTATACTCCGGCGGAGATGAGCTGGCGCGCCGGGCAATTGTTCTACACGCATATGGACATGGCAGCGGTGGAGCTAAAGATACGCACGAAGGACTACAAGAATTTCTCGCAGTTTAAGGCTGACGTGCTCACAATGTTGCATAATATTGACATTTTCCATGGCACAGAATCACAGGAACATGGCGCCGCTGAGTTTATGATCAGAGACATGGAGTACGACATCGCTGAGTTGCAGAACTGCGTTGATTGCTATCGTCATAGCAATGAGAAGATTAATCCAAAATGGTTTTGCTTGCCATGTCGAAAGCCTCATCGTTTGGTCTTTGCTAAACAGAAGGGATATCCGTATTGGCCGGCAAAGGTATAACATAGTTACATATTTTTAACTATTACTTATTTACTTATTTGTATATATTTTTGAAGGTGATTAAAGAAACTGATACAACGTTTGACGTGCGCTTCTTCGGTGGCAAGTACGAACGCGCGATTCTACCAAAGAACTGCGTGAAACCAATAACGACAAACATGTCGCAACTGCAAATCAAAAAGTCATCGGGTTTCAACAAGGCGATGGAGGAATTGAGATTGCACCAGCGATTGTTGGAGAATCCGAGCGAGGTTGCCGCAATCAAACTGACGCCGAAAGCTAGAGCGAAGCCAAAGCCCAAAAAGGCTGCGGCCCCGACGCTGAAGATTAATCAGAATCATAAACCTGCGTCTGTTGCAAATAAGTCAAATCTCTCGACTTTGTCGAATGTGTCACTTAATTCTTCTGCAATGTTGTCTACCAACACGAGTATGTCAAGCACGAGCGACGATGTTTACGAGTTTCACGATGATTTGGCAATTGACATCAACACGAAAGATGAGCCGAGGACGAGTAAAAGTCCTGTTAAAGCTGGGGGGAGTTAAAAGGAAAGTTTCATATCATGAAGAGGGTAAGTGTAATTTTAATTATGAATTTTAGTTGTTTATGTTATGATATGTAATTTGTAGTACCAGAAAAAACACGGAAATTATCATTGTCGACACCTGAAAAGACACCGCCGAAAACGGCCTCACCTCCAAAATCTCGCGACACTGATGTTATAAACATTTCGGATATTGATGACGATCGGGAGGGCTTCACCGAATTTCATGACCCTAGTCAGAATTTGGTCTCAAGTTCCACTGAGTTGTTACGAGAGGGCGAGGAACCTGGCATGCAAAAGTTAGACCAGCAGTATAGCGATGCGGTTGAGAAGGTAATACAAAGTTATGAAATAAATATTGTTATAATAATCAAATATTTTTAGATGAGGCGTAAATTGGAGCTATGTAAAGGCAACACTAAGCAGTTAATCGTCACCGCAATGGACTCGATGCAGGCGGAAATTGATCGAATACAGAACGAACATAACGAAACACTGAAAAGACTGTTTGAGTCACATAATGCGCAAATTTCCGAGACCAAAAAGAAACAATGGGTAAGTCCATTAACAGTCCATTACTTTTTTCGGTTTACTTATGTTCTTGTTTTCAGTGCTTCAATTGTGAGCAGGACGCGATTTATCATTGCTGCTGGAACACGACGTACTGTTCGCCGACATGCCAACAACAGCATTGGCAGGCCGAGCATAAGCAAGTTTGCAGGCGCAAGGATAAACGTTAGAGAAATACCTATACAATCTCGATGTAAAATTCAGTTGAAATCACAATGATATTTGATGGCGGGGCGCCAATAAGTCAATAAGTTGTGCCAGTCTAACACTTTGTCAACTTTTAGAAAACATTCAAAATAATTGCAACAATTGTAATATTTTAGCCAAAAATGTTATTTCTATCTAATTTTGACTTATCTTGGTTTTATAATTTTATTTATGTTGACTCAACGATTGTTGTTGATGTGTGTTATTTTCTGGCACGATTTGGTATATCATGGTACATGCTTTGTACAATTGGGGATGTTAAAGTTTGACTGCTGGGGGTGCCTACATAGGGTGCACAATATGCACACGTTTATGATAACATAAAACACATTTACTTATGGACGATTGATTTTCTGCTAGGACGCAGTTCATAACATAGTTGCAGCAAGTTATACAAATTAACTATTTTTTTGTCGCAATATTCTTTCCTATGTTTATAATTTGACTTTAGTTCCACTGTACGCAAAGAATTTGATCAATAACAAATAATTTTATAACTTGGAGTTGATATTAAGACATTTGATTGCAAGCAACCATTTGGGAAGTAGCATACTAATGTTATCAATTGCCTTGATGATTTATTATAAATGTATTGCAAATTATATAGTTAGTGACGAGTTGTACCTATGGGTATAGGTTTTAAGTACTTGGGAGTACATTTGGTTTGTATTCTCATCGATGTCTGATTATTTGGCAGATTATAACATGTTTTTTTTTTGAAAACTTGAAGTGATTTAATTCTAATATCCTGTAGAAAATTCAGACTTTTATTTCTTACAGAAATAAAGTAATTTTGATTATAGTTCTGGAATAGGGCGACAAAAGAAACCCACATCTTGTGAAAATTGATTTCAACGTTTCTGCTATCATAAAATGTTCGTAAAAAAGAAACAGAAGTTATGTTTTAAATTAAATTTTCTCTTAAGCCAGAACTGAACTTAAATTTAAATTAATTTTCGACAATGAGACATTTCTGTTGCAGAGTCATTGAATAGATAATCAAAATATTCTCCGCGTATCGGTGGATGTAGCCGCAGAGAAACGACAGGCACCAATATCCAGAAATTTATTTTACATCAGCTTAAAAATATAAAGTTAAAAATCTTAGATTTCTAAAATATTATGTGGAACGTAATTCCTAATTTCAGTATAAAATGTACATATGTATAGGAAAAGTATTGATATTTGCCCGCACACATCGCCCACAAAGGTATATCAGTCAAGCAACATTTATAATTATTACATTTCCATAATATTACTATCAAAATTAGACTGGATTTGATATATAATCCAACTTTCTATTTTGACTTCAATATAAACAAAAATGGCAAATCAGGGCACATTTTAAAAACACCAGCATATTCATCAAAGCAATATAAGATGAAAACACTCAAAATGCCTCATGAAAACTTGCCCATGATAAAATTATTCATTCACTTCTACAAACTCAACATTACTTAAATTATTAGCATTGTTTGTGTATTCATCCAGAAAGCAAAGCTGTCCAACACTTAATTCTTCTCCCAATTGCCTTAGAACAATTAAGATTTCCACCTTTAATTTATCAAAAGCTTCTTTGGTTATTTTGTTCAATTTGTACTCAGCTTCCAAACCAGTAAGCTTTTCTTTTAATTGCTGTGGTTCCATTTTTCCAAAGAGTTTAATAACTTCATTTGTGTTGAATGCACCAGATATGGCTGATTGGATAGCCTGTATATAAACATAACAAAAAAGTATTTATAACAATCTATTTTAAGCCTTATCAATACTTACAAGTTGCATAGCACCCATTGTGTTCACCAATGATATATCACCCTTTGCAAGTTTGGCTAAACTATCATTAAATTCCTGAAGTTGGTCCAGAGTGTCCTGTCGTGCTTCCTCATACTCTTCTGCATCTAGTTCGTCCCTATAGTATATTAAATCAATAATAAATAATCGATTATAACTTATTTCACAATAGTTAAATACTAACTTTGCTTCTTCCAAGTCTTTAAGTTGTTCAATCAGTCTATCCAATTGACTTTCCATGTTTTTCTTCAGGAGTTCCGTCTCATTTTTTCCGTGAGAAGTCATTTTTATGTATTTAAACACTTTAAACAAAGATTATGTTGTAATAGCCGCTGGTAAACCCCTGGAGTAAACAATATAAAATTCGTGGTTATGTTATTATTTTGAAAGTACAACTTTCAAATTTATAAAATCAGGTAGAAAGTGTGAAGAATAAATTCACATATTAATTTCCGTTTGTCGTACATTTTTTTTCACTTTATTAATCAAGTAATAACTACATACTAAACTTTGTACCGAAATACTATCTTATTATCAAACTCGTCTTTATAATTCTGACGACAGATGGCACTACCGTGTCAATAATAATATTTTCTCGAAAAGATAAATACAGATACGCATTCCAAACAAACCAATTATTATCTATGAAACACAGGTGTATCTCAAATATCACAAAAACATCATGTGACGCATTAGATAATACCACTAAAAAACAACTCTAAAGTGGGATTAAATCATTATTTAACACTCGATTGAATGAATGTTAATTTACGATAGTTTCGTGCATTTCATAGTTGCACGCCTAACGTGAACGAAACCTGCACCCCTTTTCGGATCACCCGAAGAGCAGTCTATCCGGGCAGGTGTGTGTCAGTTCAGTTCCCGGCGTTTTTCGGCGTTGTGCGCGGTATCACAATCGTTCTTGCGCCGGCAGCGCGGCGCGGGATACTCGCCGGCGCGAATACCGCGAATCATCTTCCGTCGCAGTCTCGTCGCGCTCGTGCTCCGGTCCGTGTCGTGCGCGGTCTCCCCCCGACGTCCCGCGATAGCGAGAGTGTAGCAGTGCGGATATCTGCGCGGCCCCCGGCGGCCGAAGAGTGCGCTGTGAGTGCGTGCGGGCGGTGGTAGTTTAGCGGCGGATACTTTTCTTCCTGCGATGGCGCTCGCGGGCGGCAAGATCGTCCGCAGGATCGGCACGATGTGTCGAATCGAACTCGTGCAGGGATTTCAACACGCCACGGCTAATTCTTCTTATTTAAATAACGTAAGTTAGTTAAGTTTCAACAAGCAAGCAACACAAAATACATTCATATTATTATTATTCTTGTTGTACAATATTAACACAACAAGTTTGTGATGAGTATTTTCACTGTTCCTGCAGGAGTTACACCCCTTTTGTTGCAGTCGGCAATGCGTACATCCCGGGCGCGTAGAAATGTGTCACGCACTTTCATTCAACAAATTATGTTTAATAACAATCATCGTGGTGCTTTTATTAAAACTATACAATGTTGAGGTTATGGGTGCATTTGTTTAAACAATCGTCAGACTAACTGGGTCATATTTTAATATTGTTTACACTTCAAAACCATTAGTGTTTCTTATCGATTAGTGTTTTTATTTTAAGTCGCAAGTTAATTTTTGCTGCTATTGATCAGTTTCGCTTTCATTTGTTGCCATTAGCTCTGTTTATGTGAGTATTCTTTCCACAATTCAACAATGTGAACAATTATTGAATTATTAATGAAGGTTTCGTTGATTGCAATTCGGAATGCTTTCATTTAGTAAAAATAGTTTCATTGATGTTAGTTATTTACGAAACTTTATTCGATTGATCATTAATGTGGGACAACGATAAGCTATCGATGATTTTATAGTAATTTCTCTACGCTATTAATTAAAACTTAAATCTAAATTATCAGTTAATGTCATGATGATAATACGAGTACTTAGTATACATTTCTTGAGGTTCTGCGTTGTTTATATTTTTCTGGATCAATTTGTCCGAGATTAATGCATATTTTTATAAATAATCTGAGTTTCTTGTCGATTGTCGGCGAAAGGTTAAAGAGGTTATAGCATAGCATGTCCAGAACCAGAATCTTACGCACACATGATCACGTCCGATGCGGCAATCAGCTGTAGTCAATGTCATGGAACTTGTTCTCTGCTGTGTGCTGTTGTTAAATAAATTGTACAATGTAATGTTAAATTGTTTAATCCCAAAGCCGCTTGACAGCTGCGTGCAGTTAAGTAAAAGTTGATTGTCAACTGGATGTGGTTTATTAAATCCGGGAGAAAATTAATTTTTAGTTATTTGCTTAATTATATTGTATTAATATATGAAAATTAATTTGGTTGTTTTAATTTACTTTCTTTTGACGTTTTGTTATGACGTATCGGGTTTGCCAGCATGATATAAGCCGTAATTGGAATTTATAACATTAGTAATGCGATTACGAGTCATAATGTTGCGTTCGTTTGTTTGGGTATGGTTGAGTTGGCAAAATGTTTGAAATTGACTCATTCTGTACATGGGATGAGTATTGTTTTAGTGATGAGTGATGATTGTGATAGTCCGGTTGTAGATTTATATTTATGATTTCATTCATATTTATTTACATATTTTTAAAGTTTATAATAATTTGGTTATACTAATATAGTCAGTGGTTTTATATAGTAGATTTGTACGTGTCTCTTAGTACAAATTTCTCAAGGTTAATTCAAATTGGAATGAATTTTTACAAAATATTATTAATTGATTAATTAATCGCGAACTAATAACTTTATTTTTAGTATTTGTTTTTAAATGAATCAGTGTTAAATTGTGAATCTGGTTATGCCTCATTTTTATTGATAACAGATTCCATTTATCAATTATTTATATGCCAATTTATGTACAATTATGAACTTATAATGTGGTAATACGAAAATAGTCAAAGTTTTTCTTTTTATATGAGGTTGTATATCACACTCTACAGTAGGTATGAAATAATAGTTGCAATCATTAAAAAGTGAATTTTTATTTAGTTTCATGGCATTATTAATTTATTACTCGAAAACTAATGAATTTTCTTTAAGTATTTCTTCAGAATTTTTTTCAGTGTTAAATTCTGAACAAATTTTTATTAAAAGTTAGAATCAATTTATGTCTAATTACGGCTGTTTACAAACATATTTTATAAAATGTTAATAACTTTTTGTAAAATACTTTGATCAACATATTCCTTGCTTATGTGGATCTAAAATTTAATTAGGAATATAATTTTAGTGAATCATCAGTATAACACAAGCAGTTTTTGAATAATTATTTATTCATTAATTATAGCAATGAACTGATAATTTATTTAGTGGAAGTAATACATTTAAAAAGTGAATTAAAATGATGCAACATTAGTTGATACCTATTTCAAACTAATTGAAAATCTATTAGATAGTGTATTCCCACAACATCTGCTACATTTTCCGAAATATGCACATATCTGTAATCTCTAAAAGCGTATAAGCTTTTAATCCACTCGATTGCCTCATGGTGGGTTTCCTGCCCTCATATAAAACTTTGCATTACGCTGTATATCCATATACGTAATATTAATCTATATTTTGTTATCAAGATAATTAAAACTCGCCGAATTATGTAATATTTTCACGAAACCCATTTATCTGGTATAGTATGCGTCATATTGCATCACGATTGATTCCGGTGATAAAACACCGCACATTCACCACTTTTATTATTAATCCGCGCATTTCCCGTACAATTAGGCGAATTATGACTTTTTTCATTACTCGGCGAGGGCACCCTCGAAAAATTACAACGTGCGCTAATTTACCTGTTCGTGAAGGTAATCAACTTACGCGCTGCTATCGATCTCTTTGTGTTTTCTTTCGCTATACGCGGATTTGAACAACGGCGTGTTCTTTTGGGAAAAAAGTTTTTCTGTTTCAACTCACAAGTTGTTCAATTTAATTAACCTAACCCGACGTGCGTATTCCTAGATGGTAGATATCTGTCGGAGTGGTTGGCTAATTGAGTTTGCAATTATTTATAACAAGTTACGAAAGCAATCAAAGTTGTAATCAGATAGAGACGGCATTGAAAGTACAACTTCCTCACATAAAATAATATATTATATTTAAGATAGATGAGTAGGTACATATTTTTTAGTAAGGAATATTATGTGACACTAGCGTTTGCCTGCGACTTCGTCCCAGTAGTGTTTAATAAAAATATAATTCGTTTCTACTCTCTTTGTTCTAGACATAGTATGTGTCAATTCTATCAATAAGATTCGCAATTTTATTTTAAATAAATTAATTATATAAAGAATTGCTAATAATGCACTTCAGCGCGCCATCTCGGATTCAACTATTTAACTATTACTATGATTGAATCTCAATGCCAACTTTTATCCTATAGAAAAGGGCTGTTATTCGAATTTTTCTTGCCGTAAGAACCATCCTTGGACTTTAACAAACAATTAAAAAAAAGAATTGGCCAAATTGGTCTAGGCGTTGTTGAGTTATGCGCTTACGAACAGATTTTGCGATTCATTTTTATATTATAGATTTAAGTTAGATAAGTAGATATTTTTTAGTTAGGAATATTATATGACGTTATCTTGAGATTTCCGCTTCTGTCGTTTCTGATGATATTGTCCCAAGGGAAGACGTATTTGAAGGGCGCACTTGGGATTTACATCCTCTTAGTGCTTACTTTGACTGAGCTGAATGTATTACTGTCGACTATGGTTGCTATAAGTCTCAAAGCTTTGGATAGACTTTATTTCCGATTAGCAACAAGTATCTTTCAGTCAAATAAATGTTTCATAGAAAAATATAAACTAAATATTCTCTTTACTCTATAGGATGTAAGGTGTGTCTTAAAATGAGCAAATATTAACTTAAAACATGTCAAAACTACAGTTAAGTTTATTGTCTTAATCAATATTAACCTTTTGTCTTGAAACTCAAATACTCCGAGTATAATGATAGAAAATGTTAATTCATCAAAATTTAGTTGATTTTAACTATATTATGAGGATAAATAATTCATCTCCCCACAAGTAGTAATTCTGGGAAGTTATTTCATGTATACAGCTTGTGCACCGTTGATCTACGCCCGCTAATTGCTCAAATTGCATTATTCAATTTGAACCGTTAACCAACTCACGTCGCCCCATTCGTGTTTGTCAATTATGCATCATACTTAGCGTCGTCATGTCAATCTCGAGTCTTCTCTTTCAAGTACAAGTACACACTACAAACGTAACATACGTAACTTTACCGTAAAAAGTTCAGAGAAAAACTTGGAAATATTTTTTATCTGTAAATAATACAAGTGTTTTGTTTGTTTGATTTGAAAAAAAGCAGGCTACTTGTACACACTTTACGTTAATGAATTAATTTACTTATATTGTAATGCATATTGTTTGCGCTCGTTGCGCAGCTGATTTAATTAGCCCGACTACAATGCGAACAAAACGCTACCGCGTTCATTAGAACCTTTTTGTATCCTTTGGGCTTTTGTTATCCGCGGAACTGATGATTCTCGGGTGGTTTCCTGCACGCGTTAGGGGATTTTCTCTTCTGTCTTCATCTTCATGGGACGCGTGCGCGTTTTTGCTCTGCGTGACGGTTGTAATGATATTTAAACTAAGACTATTAGGGTTTCTATTCAACATACATTAATCAACAGAAGTTGGTTGAGGATTGAGGTTAGATATCTCTGTTGTACATATTATTGTCCTTGAACAAATGGATGAAATGTATTTTCGAGAGTAAATTTGTGAATATGGGTTGTGAATTGCATTTAAGGATTTCACTGTTAGGGGAGGATGGTGGAGGATCTTGCGGTTTTGGCACCGAAGCGAAGGTCGTTTGAGCGGTTGTGGTCGGGCGTTTAATTTATGTGGGTACTGGAATAATGGAATAAAGATCATTTTGTTGGCAAGAAAATGAGATTTTTTCGAAATTAAAAATTTATGTGGTAAAAATGTTTTAATTCATTTTCTTTTTGTTTCAGGTTAAGTGCGTGCACAATAGATTAGTACTCAGACAATGTCGGCGTTTTGCCGCCACCGGGCCGGTGTCTAGTCCAAGTGAAAAACAAACTCTAACACAAGTGTGCAAGAAGGAGAATATCGCCCATCGGACGCCCTCGGCGGCGGCGAGCAGTAGTTCCTCATCTACTTCCTCCGATTCGGATTTTGATGAACAAGGTCAGTAAAAAAAAAAAAAAAACAAAGACAGAATTAAAATGGTTCCATGTAAATAGAGACGTAAACTTTGTTTTATTTGACTAGAAGTAAAACAAGGACATTTACTTAAATCAGAATCATTTATCTTTAAACTCTAGCGTAGATATATTCACTGAAAATTGGAGTATCCGATATCCTGGGTTATTTTTATCTTGTATCCTAAGAAAACATTTATAACTACGAACGTGATGTGAGAAATGACCAACCTGGAAGTACGAATAGAAGCAAAGAGGGACGACTCTTGAATGGAGTGACGTGTTCGTATCGCTCTCATTTATCCTATACACCGGGTGTTTTTATCTGAACACATGTCATAAATACACACACGTCGAATGTTAGCGTTGAGCGTATCTTCCACTCTTAGTGAGTACGCGTGCGTGAATTATTCAGTGGGGCCGAGATCGTCCAGCCAACTACGTGCGGATAAATAACCAAGGAGCCTGTTACTCTTAGTTTTTTGAGCATGTTGGGTTTGGGCATAAGTGTGGTTATAAAATTGGTGCATGCGCATACATATTGACGTTTTAATCTTGATCTGCTTTCTGCTTTTACTCACCTCAGGCTTAAAACATGGAATATTTTTTTATTAAACTTTATTTTATAAGGTCGTAAATAAGGGGCTTATGTTTGCTAGGTTTGCGGTTGGGGAATGACCCTAAACGACCCCAAGGGTTTCCTATGACAAGCTGCATAAATGACCAATCGTCAAGTACATTAACAAATATTTTTCAAGAAAAAAAAAGCAAAAAACTGAATTTCTAGTTAAATAAATGTTAAATTGATAAAATAATTTTAGTCCTGGAATAATGTTCAGCTAGTCTGCTCCACAAAGGAGACAGTTTCAGCGCGTGCGTATTTTATAATTAAGTAACTTTTGCACCGTTTAACTTTCCTGCGTCTGCATGAAAAGCATCAGGGAGCAATTAACGAAATTTAAAACTGTCAACATCGTAATTAAAACCATTCACTGATTTCAACCTGCATTTGTGTACGTTTGCCTCAAATAATTCCGGCTTTGAGCGATCCCGCGATCGGTGAAAGCGTTTGACATGTGAAATGCCTATTTGGAGAGCGTTGCCTGTCGCATTGGGACAGTGTTTATTTAAAGCCAGCTCGTAAAAATAACTGAAAAATAGGTTTTGCCGGAGGTGTTTGGCACGCGGGTATTTCGGGCGATTACAATTTCATTTAAATCAACTTTTCTACAGGTCATAAAGTTAATATAACGTGTTTGATTGTTTATTTTTACTTTTATGTGAATTGGTGAATAATTCAACTTGATTTCTAGTTGATATCTTTATTTTTCTTGGTGGTAGTTTATGATTTTGTCTAAATTTAAGGTTATATTGTATTATCTTGACCAGTGGCGTAGCTCTTATATATTTTAGAGACCAAAATAGAGAAAATTTTATTTTTTGCTTTTTTTCATTCATAAACCTACCAAAGGAAAGAAAAGTAAAATTGTAGATGTGAACTTGAGTTTTCCGCATCAATGCATAGTTTCAGTGATAGTTGAGGTTATGTTCATGCTTCCATTGAATTTACCTACCCACGCTATTTTTTTGCTCCAAACTTTCAATAACATTTAAAGTATTTGCCTTTTACTCTTTTTTTAACGGAAATAGAGAGTCCTTGCCAGTGCTCGATACACTGAGCTACACCACTGATCGCGACACATGAAAACGTCTGAGTAGAGCAAGTCAAACAACGTCGTCGACGAGAACAACCCAAAATTAGCAAATTTACTTTTCACATCCGCAACGATCACTCGGAGGTCTGCTTTGAGGAGCGCTTCTGCACAGTGCGAAACAAGGGTGCTTACTTTTGCAGTTTGCTTGCTCTGTGTGTACTAGGTCAATGGGATCTTGAGGGCGTTGGAGCAATTTACGGTTTGAGTTTGCAAGCGTCGTTAAAGTTCAATTTCAGGCGAAAATACTTCCAAACTACTCTTGATTGCGAAACAAAGCAATGCAATCTGCGACTAAAAATCGACGCTTTTAATTTTTGAAGCATTTTATGATTTCGCTTTAAATAAATCGTACGTGATCCAATTTTAAATTCGTTCAGCTCGTAAAACACGCTCTGCGAACATCCAAAAATACCGAAAACAGATTCGATGAATGTCCTAATTTCATCGCTTGCTACACATTACATTCGCATTCAGTTCAAATGTCTTATAAACTTTAACTTTATCAGATAGCATTGGTAATTACCTCCAGGTGAAAATATAAAGCCTTTCTGTCAGTGTTCGCATTTGTGAGTTGAAAGTCACTTTGGTAATGACGAGGCAAACGCTTTTTGGGCCGATATCTCGTTTATAAAACTCGCGTGAAAGTAGCGGACGTAATGCGTGTCTGGTGTGCGGCGTTTGCCCAGTCTCCTTTCATTTGCATCTATCGATTTTCGCAGGCGCGGCGCCGGCGACGGCTCGTGTACATTATGCATACGGCACGCACAGTCACAGCCACGGGTGCTGCCGTTGCCGCCGCCGCGCAACCGACAGGACAGTGGAACAGCAGGTCATGCACCATGCTCTCAGCATATTTGGAGGATACTTGTTACTGGAGTTTTCAGTGTTTCAGTGTTTCAGTGTTTTTCTTGTGGTTAACCCTGAAATATCAAATAATTCAAGCAAATTATCAGAAAGCAAAAAATAATTGGTTTTTTGAAAATTTTATCACAAAAAATACATTTCTGGCAATTTTTTAAAATAAAATCATATAAAAATCACATGTGTGAGTTGCGGTACAAGTTCTGAACATGAATTTTTCTCATTTGAACATTTTTCATTCACGAAATTTTTATTTTTTGTTTATTGATACAGCTCTGTATTTACAAACATCTTTTGATATTCCAGGGTTAAATTTAGGTTGTGCGTAACCGTGTAGCAGTGTTTCGTTTTCATTTTCGGTTTATCCCGCACTGTACGCTTGCCAGTTGCCATGTTTCACGTTTGCCCTCCATGCCAATGTTGTATGCGTAGGTGTAGCGCAAGATATGCATAATTCACGTTATACATGTTATATATTTTTGAGTTTACTGAAGCACCCGTTGCGATTATTAGATCTAAATTTGCATACGGCCACTGGACGTATATTTCTATTATGTTTGTGACAATTTTAATAACATTTGATTTTTAGATAAAGTTTAGACATACGCAATTAATTATTTATTAAAAACATCCTGTGAAATGTCAAGAATTGTATTCTTTTATATTAGTGAGTTGTGAAATATTTATATATCACTTAGCATTTTAAATTAGACATGAATTGTTCTTGAATTGATTCGAATTATTTATTCCTTGGACTTTAAAGGTATATCTTGATAATTTATTAATAGCAGTGTTTGAAAACATTTTTAATATACTTCATTCACATCGTGCCAAGTAATAATAGGGTTCTTTGCGCGCGTTGCGTGTTTAAGGGTTTAATAACCTTCTATGGTGGAGGCGCCACATGCGAAACTCTGAACACAATGTTGCGGGTCGCCGGATAATTTTCCATTTGTTTTCGATGCATATGCGCGGTGTGTTTCACGCGTCTATTTTCCTTTTCTGTTTTCGTTCTAATGACGATGCTATTTATTCGACGCTGGCGCTAGTAATGAAAATTTTACGTCGACGGAAATGTATTTATACAATGGAATGAAGACGAGAAAAAATTGCAAGAGTCACGCAGCTCTGAGGACACAGGAAAAGTTACACTGCTGTGTTTATTGAGAGTTGAGTATAATACTTGTACAACTATGAGGGAACTATGAGGAAACTACTACGTAGCAATAGGAAAGGTTTTCATTTGAGTTAGGAAACGAGGTGAGAATATTACTGGCGCGTTTGCATGCGATGGTTTGCTCGCCTGCTTTCTTGCACGTTTCAATTGTTACCCTACGTTGTGTTACAACTTGGGACACGTGGAGGTGAACGTGACAAATGCCAATGGGCAAATGTTACGAGCGCGCGCGTTTGGGAAATTGTCGCCATTTTGTCCATTAGCGAGCACGCACCGCAAATAAATATCGAAGGCGTAATTAATCGCTCTATCGGGGCCCGCATCTGCGATGGAAGGGTTGCGTGCGTGTGCACACGGGCAATTGCTAGTTTATTGCAGTTTAATCAAATTTAAGGGTTGATCGGTACGTTTATCGTGCATAGATTTCCAAAAAAATGTTAATTACATGAATTGCATTGATTATAATGATACTTGAATCATGCAATATTTAGTTTTTAGTTTTTACTAGTTTTTGTACGCGACTTCGTCTCGGTAGTGTTTAATAAAAATGTAATTCGTTTTTACTCTTTTGTTCTAGACATAGTGTGTGTCAATTCTATCAATTAGATTTGCAATTTTATTGTAAAGAAATTAATTATATAAAGAATTGCTAATAATGCACTTCCGCGCGGCATTTCGGATTCAACTATTTAACTATAACTATGATTGAATCTCAATGCCAACTTTTATTCTATAGAAAAAGGCTGTCTTTAGGGTTTTCCCGACAATTATTCGAATTTTTCACGCCGTAAAATCCATTCTTGGACATTAATAAACATTTTAAAACAAGAATTTGCCAAATAGGTCTAAGCGTTGTTGAGTTATGCGCTTACCAACAGATTTTGCGATTAATTTTTATATTATACGTACGAATTTTAATATTATACGAAACAAACCTGGTGTTATATGAAACTATATTAATCTTTGCTAGCACAATTGTTCCTCATTTATAAAACCCTAACAAGAAATTCTGGCAACTGCAACTTAAACTAAAAGTACCACATTTTTCAAAACTACCATGTAACAATTTTTTATACTTGTTGCCAAAACAAGCTGTGATAAACAATGTTGACTACAAACATTTCTTAACCAATTTGTTTAAGACACGTCCGCTGACCTTTTGGTCTTTTATTTTATTTTATCAAAACCCAACCGTTTTGTACCTTTGATAATGCGGGTAATAAACCAAGCCGA